AACATCGAATCAAGATTTTATGGACCTAATAGTTTATTATACCATTTTAATTTACATGATCCAAATGTATCATCAGATGCTGCTTGTTCATCTTCTTCAGAAACTTTACATATGACTGTGCAATGTCTCCGTATAAATGAAGCTGATTTGGCTGTATGTGATGGTGTTAATGGATTCTTACATCAGAAAGTTTTCTACAACATTCATTTATTGGTGCACAATCACCTGGTGGAAGAAGTCGATCATTTAGTGTTGATGCTAATGGCTATGCTAAAGGTAAAAAGTCAATTGATTAGTTTTCTATGTAGAAATAAATTTAAATTTGAATTCTCTAGGTGGTGGTCTTGCTCTTTTACTATTAAAACAATTAAGTGATGCTGAACGTGATGGCGATCCAATTGAAGCTAATTGTTTAGATCGATTCTTTAATCAATCAAATCTTGATCCACCATTATTATTAGATTTACTTAAAAGTAATTTAGGACATACAGAAGGTGCAGCTGGTATTCTATCACTTATTAAAGTTGCTATGTGTATGTATCATCGTGGTATTACAACAAATATGCAATTTACTTCACTTAATCCAAAAATAGATGCATAAAAATATAATCTACATATTCTTCAAAATTTTATACCATTTCCATCCGTTTCAAATAATGACAAAATAGCTATTGGTGTTAATTCATTCGAAACGGTTGATTCAACGACACATTCTATTATTGAAGAATATCAACCAATAAATAAAACATCAATTCAAAATGGTCATATCGATGATGGAAATCATATTAAAAACAAACAATATTTTATTTTTATTTTTTCAAGTAAGTTCTTTTTTCTTTTCATTCATTAAATAATTTATTTCTTCTTATTCAGCAAAAAGTCGTCAATATCTTAACGATCAATTAATGATATAGATCATAATGATGATCAAGCTTTTCTTCAACATATATCTCAGCAACTTCTTCTTAAAAGAACTATTAGTTATACACATTTAGCAATCTTTGTTTTTCTCAATCGTCAACAATTACAAGAACAAATTAATGCTTTTCTTACTAAAAAAGCATTACCAAATCTCACAATCATCACGTCCAACAAAAGCATTAGCAAACAAAATATGTTTTGTTTTTAGTGGACAAGGTCCACCATGGTGGTCTATGAATAGACAATCATATGAAAGTGAACCTTTATTTAATAAATAGATTCATTTAACTGATGAAGAAATAACAAAAATTAATAATGGTGAATGGAGATTATTGGAAGAATTAATTGAGAAGAAAAATGAACGAGAATCTCGTATTAATGATACAAATATTGCTCAACCACCATGATTTGCTATACAAGTTGCATTAACAGCTTTACTTGTTTCTTGGAATATTTATCCATCATCTATAATATCACATAGTGCTGGTGATCAAGCAGCTGC